AATTTATCTACATAATTAATGCCAGGTTGTTGGTTGAAATATTGGCAACCAACCTAGCTTTGGGTCTTTCCAAGCTGCCATTTGAATTCAATTTTGTATTATAAACACATTTAGAACTAATAACATTCATTAAAGATTGTCGAGAAATAAGAGTCCAAGTATGATTTTTAGAGAGAGCTTGTAGTTCTTCTTGTTTTTTCTTGTACCACCCTGATGAGTAAGAGCAATCTTCAAAGTTATCAGTTCTTGAGGTATGTCACATGAGTGATCAAAATTAAGATGTAAAGACCTACCTTTAACGTGTTTCTACTTGTCATGGGATAGGTGTTGAGCTGTAAATGATATCCTGGATCAAGAGAAGAAGAATTATTATCATTTAATTTTGTTACTTGAGATGATGGATATTGAAGAGAGTCTTTTTTCATGGTTTTGATTTTCAGCTTCAGTTTACACAACCTATTATTGTGTTGTGGCTACTGAAGTGATATGGCTCCATGAAAGTTCCCAATAGAAGTGTATAAGACATATATGATGAAGATTCCAACATGCTTTGATCTTCATGGTATCAATGAGGTTTATCTGTGTGTTAAGATTCATAAGCTCCTATTTAGTTAGACGATCGATGGTAAAATCTACCAAGTAATGAAATTCACTTTCATAAAAATTAACATGCCTTTGAAATATATATATATATATATATATATAAACACACACACATACATACAAGACTAGTAGAAACATGGAGATATCTATATCCCTTATGATTTTGGCTGTAACCAATAAAAATTTATAGAAGGCTCATAAGAGAAAACTAAATCTCTCAATTAAGGATAACAATGACAACCAAAACTTTTTAAGAATGAATAATTTGGATTTTTCTTGAAAGGATTTTGTATGGTGAATTAATATTTAAGGTTGTTGTAAGAGTTCAATGAATAAGAAATGCATTTGTGTGGGTAGCTTTTAACTATAACCATTTAGGTGCATGGTTATATAATAATAAAGTCAAAGCCCATTTGATGATATGCATATGTTTTCTTTTTGTTGTGCCATTTTGCTCAATTGTATGAGAATAAAAAATATGTCAAATGATGACATTGTTAGCTAAAAAAAAAAAAAAAAACTCAATCTTGTTAAACTTACCCCAACCATCACTTTTAAAGACTTTAATTTTCCTCTCAAATTATGTATCAATCATATGCATAAAATTCTTAAAATAATGAAAGAAATTAGATTTTTGTTTCAAAGGAAAATGTTAACATATTTAGAGAAATTATCCATGAATGTAACAAAATATTTGAACCTTTGTGAAGATGCCTAGGGCTGGATCTTAAAGATCACAATGTAATTTTTGAAAAAGAAAGCTACTGCATTTATTTCTAGCCATAAAAAGTAATTTGCAAAATTTTTCTAGTTGATAATTTGAACAAATAGAATCTTCATTTGCTTCTTAGATAGAAATATAATTTTTATTGCTTAGATATTTCAATATTTTTTGAGGATGACCCAATCGTTGATGCCAAACTCATTGAGTCTCCTTTCTCCGTTTGATTGAAAAGAAAGCCATCATATCCTACCTTAGAATATATAGACCATATTTTTTAACCCCACTTGCCACTATTTTCCAAGTATTTTTGTTCTTAATAATGAAACCAAAGGGTGAGAAATTAATAAATACACATGGTAAGTCATCAAGTAGTTGACCAATATAAATTAAATTTACAGTAATTTCTAGAATGTCTATCACATGTTTAAGTAGTAAATTATCTAAAGATTTAGGAATTGATACATCTCTTTTATAACTAATGTTAAGTTTCTTGCCATCTCCCACTATGATTCTAGATTTTTTTTTATAAATTTGATAGTAGTAAGATTACCTACATCATTTGTGAGATAAAAGGTTACTCTAGTGTCTATAATCCAATCAAAATCATCAACATCATGTATAGATGATGCAACAAAAGCTTTTGAGGCATCTTTTTCTTAATATGCATGATTGAATCTCTTGTAACATCACAATGCTTTAGTTTTACTTTGTTGTATATTTAACAGACAATAGTGGATCGTTGAATCTAATTAGATTTTTGCAAATTTCACTATGGAACATTAAAGTTCATACCTTTATTGCTACTTCTATAATCATAAGAAAATCATTTTCCTTTAAGATTGGAATGGCCTTGAAAATTACTATTGTTTGAACACCTTTGTTCTCGATTTGCAACAAAAACTTGTTTGTCATTAACAAACTTGATCTTGTGTCATTTCTTATAATTAGATAATAAGTTTGTGAATTCACTAAATGAAGGAAATGGAAAAGAACATGCATAGCAGTGAAAAAAATTTCATACTTATCTCTATGTCCATTAGATGACTAATACACTTTGTCACTATCATCCACATGATGGTTGATTACAACAAGTTCATTGCTAACAATCTTCATTTCTTGTAGATATGCCTGAAGTGTGAGAAGATCATCCCTCTAAACTTTTTATAATTTTTACATGAGATCTCTTGCTTTCTGTTTTGAGGAGTTTGCAAAGTGTTCCTCTAAGATTTTCCATATTTCTTTAGTTAAAGAAAACCTAATAACGAAATAATGAACTTCAAATTATAATGTTGCTGTGATAAAACTTTTGACAAGCTTATCTTCTCACTGCCATATAGAGAATGCAGGACTTAATTCTTTTTTGCAATTAAAAGATGTGATGGTGGCTATAAGAACCTTTAAGTTAACAAGAAATCAAGAATATGATCTACCATAAAAATTCCTTTTATTAGAAAAAGTACTTGGTCTTGCCAAGTCACATAATTCTTGGTAGTCAATTTTTCAGTGACTATAGCAAAGATTTGTGCTATGATTTGGATGGTAAAGGAAGTGGGTGACCTAGAAAATGCCATTGAAAGCTAACAAGAAAGATAATATGGGAGAGTAATTCTCCAAAAACTTTGATACTATAAAAAAGTTTAAAAACACTTCTATGGATTTATTCTCTTTCAATACAAAGAGTGTTGTACTTGAATATATTTATAATAAACATATATGTGCAATATGGAAAGAATAAATGAGAATAATTAATGGAGTTAACCTTAAACTACATCTAAGATTATATCTACAGATCAACTAATATTTCAAAAATTATATGATTAATTTGTTCTGATTTATTGCACAAAATTTGGGATTGGATGTAAATCTTTATTACTAAAATTATTTAAGACATTCAGAGACTGATAAAATTACATTGGTGTTATTTAGGGAAATATTAATACTCTTTCAAAAAGAGAAAGTAGATATTCTACACAATCCCATGTATCATAAATGAAAAAAAAGTTTTCATTCATTTTTTGAAAAAGAAAGAATCAAAAATAAATATTATTCAAGAACTTTTAAAGGTTCATTTGGATAGATTGTGAGATTAGTTTCAGTAAGATTAAAAACAATAGTGAGATGAGATTAGTTTCAGTAAGATTAAAAACAATAGTAGAGATGTGATTAGTTACTATAGTGATGAAATTAAAATCAATAATAAAATATGTGTATGATACAAAAGCAATGGTGACGATGAGATGAATTTTAATAAGATAAAAAATAACTATTAAGGACATTAGTTTAAAATTTATATGTAATAAAAATTTAAATTATTTAACTTATAAAAATTAATAAATAATAAAAAATTTTAAAAATATTTTTATGATAAATAATAATTTTGTTAATAAAATAAAAAAATAAAAAATAACAAAAATATATTAAATAGTCTTTTATGATAAATAATAATTTTGTTAATAAAATAAAAAAGTAAAAAGTAAAAATAATATGTTAAATAGTATTTTTATTATATTAAAGTATAATTATTTTATACTTTTTTTCAAAATTAAAATAAAAAAGAAGGAGAATGAGTCAAATTAAAAGGATAAAAAAGTACAAAAAAAAATCAATTGTGGGTTTGTTGGCTGGACCTAAAACCTCTAGTAAAAATAAAACTGATTTTTGCACCTCAAATTATACATTAAAATGGATGTTTGGTGCGTAGAGTATGATTTTTCAAAACAAACGTATCCTCACTGGATAGACGTTTGAATCCAAATGCGGCCTAAATGTACTTTAATATTTGCTATTCAAACTCAATTTCTAAAGAGAACCAACCATTTACTTATTACACCTAATACATATATTTTTTATTCTTTAAAATTACCTTCACACCATTTCTTCTCTTTCCTCCTTCATTTTTGGATTGTGCATGAAATCCTAAGTTTCGGATTTGGATTTTCAATAGTTTTTAAAAGTTTTCATATTTGTATTTCAAGAAGTTTATCAAACTATCCACAAATGTAAATTTAAAAGCTCTTAAAAGTTAATGAAATGCATATAAATTTTTTTTAAAAAAATACAAATAAAGCTTTCGAAAATAAATATCCAAAAATTGTTAAAGGTTTTTAAAAATATAAATTCAAAGACATTTAAACGTTTTTTTAAAAAATACAAATCTAAAAACTTAAAATAGAAGAAATAAAAATGGAAGTATAAAAGATTGAAAAGTAATTGTTGAAAATTAATTAAATAATTTTATTTCAGAATATTTTTATAACAAAATAAGGAGGCGGAGAACATTTCTAGAGGGCAAATAAAAGCTCTCATGGTTCGTAACTTTCAACTTGATAGAATCCTTACCTAGGGTCGGCTTTTTCGGTAGTCAAAACATAAGGAAGAGTCCAAACTTTACATGCAAAACACAAAATTTCCAAAAGCCAATGATGGTATGCTGCCGTCGTTGCTGACGACTTTCATAATTCTTTATCTTTTGTTTGGTCAAAGTAAGAAAAGATAAACGGTCAGTTTCCAGACCGAACAGCTGAGAGGAAAATTCACCTACCCAGGAAAAAAGGCAAAATGACGGATAGGATTTGGAAAAAATGCAAACCATTCCCTCTAGATCCTGCCACCTAAACTCCAATTTCGTCACTGCTGACTATCACCTGAACACTTCTTTACGCTATATAATGGTAAGTACTTCCTCTTTGCATGTGGCCACAATTGTTCACCAAATTCAATCACACCAACAAACAAAATAAGAGCTAAACTTTTGAAGCTGAGCACTCCAGAATTACCCAACAGCAATGGCTACTGAGTAAGTATCTTGAATAGCTTCTCTGTCGAGTTTAGCTTCTAGGTTTCTCTAAAAATCATGTCTTTTTCTTTGGTTTCTAATTTTAGATATGTAGAGTCTTTGCCTCCTCCGTTGGATGCTGCTGCTGAGCAACCCCCTCTCTTTGATGGAACCACCAGGTTTCACACTTTCTTTTCTGGGTTTTCTTTTGAATCTTCTTTTTATAGTTTTTTACTGCTATCTTGTTCGCTTGTGTTTGTTGGCCACATGATAAAGTTGATAATTTTTCCTCTTCTTTTAAAGGTTGTACATTTCTTACACTTGCCCTTATGCACAGCGTGCGTGGATCACCAGGAATTCTAAGGTTGTCAAATTCCCTTGATTTTGTTTACATTATTCTTTTTTTCCCTGATTTTTATAGCCTTAGTGCATGAAATTGTTGATTACTTTTTCCTGTCCCCACTCTTTCATGTAATTAATTGTCATGATTTTTGTTGGGTTGCAGGGATTGCAAGACAAGATCAAATTGGTTCCTTTGAACCTTCAAAATAGACCTGCTTGGTACAAGGAAAAAGTTTACCCTCAAAACAAGGTGAGGCATGTGAAGATATCAAGATACTTCTCTATATTAAGCTTTTTCAATAATGAACAAGTTAAAAAGGTTGAAAATCTGTTCTGAAGTTGGTATAGCTATTTGATCTTGTCTAGGATCACATCTCCAAGTCCATGGAGAATTTTGTCAATAAAAAAATTTGTATAAGATTCAAAACGGTGCTTTAAGGAAAATGTTGATCCAAGCTCTTCTGTCAACTTGTTGGAATATTTTGATGCTTGGACTTATTAGACTTTTTGTTTTGAGTGGGTAACTTCATTCTAGGTTATGAAATTGCATTTTTTTTCCTAGTATATATTGAGTTATGGCTATTGGCAAAAGATCTCTTTTCAATAATAAATTAGTAATAAATTTCCTATTATTACTTTTGGAGTTTGCTTAAACTTTGGGGTCACTATTGAAAGTTTGAACTTTATGTACTCTTTCCCTTATTATTTACGATGTCAATTAATTTTATTTTCAGGTGCCGTCCTTGGAACATAATGGCCAAGTCATTGGGGAGAGTCTTGATCTGATTAAATATGTTGATAGCAACTTTGAAGGACCTTCTCTTTTACCTACTGTAAGATCTGTGGAACTGTTTAGTGCTCTCGATGAAGGCTTCTCTTTCTATCTATATCAATTAAAGTAATCTTTTGAAAATATTTTAGGATCCTGACAAAAAAAAGTTCTTTGAGGAGTTGTTGGCATACGTGGACAAATTTGTAGGCACAATTTTTGCTTCATTCAAAGGAGACCCAACAAAAGAAGCTGGTTAGTCTGAAGATGCTTCTATTTTACCGACATTATCTTTTATTTGTAGATAATATGATATGAAATAACTAAAACTTAGGACTTGCATCAGGTGCTTCTTTTGATCACTTGGAAAATGCTCTTAAAAAATTTGACGATGGCCCATTCCTCCTTGGCCAGTGCTTTAGTCTGGTAAGTTGGCTTTCCACTGATGTTAAATTGCTTTCCTGGTGCTGCAATTTTATGTCATTGTTGTCTCTTAACTGAGGTTCGAAAACATGCAAAAGTTTAAATTAATGATAATCTCTCAGAAAAAAATTTATAGTCTGGTAACTATTGAAATTAATAATAGCTATGGCTATATCATTTGGGTTTTTTCTGTTAAGATATATGAATGAAATTTTGTCATTTTCAGGCGGACATTGCCCACATTCCTTTTGTTGAAAGATTTCAGATCTTCTTATTGGAGGTGTTCAAGTATGATATCACAGCAGGCAGGCCTAAACTCACAGTATGGATTGAGGTATAATTTAAAAACTATCTATATAAATATTTATCAACTTGTGAAATTTACCTGCTATGGTCTAATTTTCAATGAAAGAATTAGTTCTACCATCATGTTTAGTGTTTACTTGTTTCTGTGTAAAATTGTTGCTTTGCTCATTTTGTGGCCATCTAAACCTCATCATAAAATGGCATACAGATTCATAGTCACTCTGCTGTTGAACACATCCAGACTTTGTCAATGTTTGTTAAAATACTTTTGCACATTGAGAATTGTTTTGCTTATTTAATTTTATGCTTCTAGTTTGCCAAGGAATGTTATTATTGTTGTCAAAATTAGCCTCAGCTTTTACTGGTGTTTTCTTTCCTATTATCTTCCAATTATAACTGCATCAGTTGCACAAGCACAGTCCTATCTCCAAACATTTAGATCAGGTGGCTTAGAAATGGCCAATGTCCCTTCTGCGACTTTTTTTTTTCTACCAAAGGAGGCGCAATTTGAGAAAAAGGGGAGGGGTTACAGGAGTTATAATTTGAACCCTAGACCTAGTGAATATCACTTTTTAACGATGATTATATAAACCAACTAAGCTAAGCTCTGGGTTCATCCTTTGCAACATTTCTTTCATTGTTTTAGTTCTTAAATAACATTTTTATTGTGATAAATTTGCAATGCAGGAGGTGAACAAGATCGGTGCCTATAAGCAGACAAAGAAAACTGATCCAAAAGAATTAGTGGAACTTTATACAAAGTATTTCTTGGTACTAGACTATGGACACCCTTAACATAGATTATTACTGTTTCATCATTGGTTATTGGTTAATGCAGGAAGTTGCTAACTACTGTAATAAAATCTCATTGCAGGCTCAGAAGTGATGAAATTGCTGCCATCTTAAGACATGACAATAAAGCTTGATGCTCTCTGATCAGTGTTTCTTTTTCCTTTTCTTTTTTTGTCCAAATCTATTATGATGTACTTGTGCCAGTGTGAAAGACTTTTGTACTAGCATTCTGCATTTACGTAAATAAATTTGAAGCAACTGGGATGTTGTGTTCAATTTGGTGATCATAAAAATTTTGGATGAGAAGTGTCATTCTCATCCATTACTTCATTTATAGTACTTAAAACAACTCTAAATCTAAGTTGAGCCACTTTGATTAATCTATGTTCATTAACGGCATCAATAGGATTACATATGTTTTGTAGAATATGTTAAAAATAATTTAAAAAATTAATATAATAAATCAGTTTTTACATGGATGATAATTTAGACTTGATAATTTTAAATGATATAATATAAAAATAATATAAAAAAATATGAAAATAATAATAATAAATATATATAAAAGTGATATTATTTAAAATTTTGTTAAAAATTATATAAGTATAATAAAAATAAAAAATGAAATTTATATATTAATATAAATTAAAATATAAAATTTTTTATATTATATATATATATATATGTATATATATATAAAATACAAATCGTTAAACATAACTATAGAAGCACTCGACTGAAAGCCACTCAATCAGATTGTCAAAACTAGAATTACCTCTAAATCATACCCGTCTGTAGCTCACAGTTATGCCTCTTCCTCTCCATCTACAGCTTCAAACATGGCAAAATTGGTCGCCATTGTCGTACACTTCATCATCAATTTAAATCAGTCTTGTAATTCTAGCATCGCCTTTTAACAAGAAAACCGCTAACATAACACGTGCTAATCAGTTTTGTAATTGTAACGACTAGAACGGAAACAAAAAGATTCGGAAAACCAGCTGCTTCAACTAGGAGCTTACTCACCAGATAAAAGAAAAAAACTGAAAAATCAGTTAACGGAAATCAAGAAACATCCTTTGATCTTCCGAATCATACGAATCAAACCCAAATTTTTGTTAATTATCAAAATAAATAAAAAAAAGGAAAATCCCAGCTGTTAATCAACCCGACAATGACGGAGTCGAAACTGAATCTCCTTCAATCTCTCAAAGCAAAGAGGTACTACAGTTTTCTTATTCCTACATTTGTCCTTGAAACCCTGTTTTTTTTGTGTTTTTATTTTGACAATTTCTAGGTTTTAGATTACTACTGTTTCAGTTAGCAAAATTTGTAAAAAAAAAAAAAAAAGCGATAATAATAATAACTAAACAAACAAATGTAACTTCTTTCATTGAATAGTCAGCTTTTTCAAGCTCTTATTAATTTTCTTTTGAATGGTTTTTTTTTTAGCTCAAAAAGAAAAAAGAGCAGAATTATTGGTTTATTTTTGGATGGATTTTGTAGTTTCTTTTTGGTGGTGGTTTTTTGGAGAGTTTAAACTTTAGTAACAAAAGAGTGGTGGGGGGTTTTTTTTTTGTGAAATGTGGCATGAATTTAATGTAAAGCAAAAGAAAACTATGGGCAGTTATACAATTGCAAGTGTTTGTCAAGTATGTTATTGTCCTTGTTGAGCAGGCGCTCATTGGAGGTTGATTCCAGGCAAGTTTCTGATCTTTTATGCCCTTTGCCTATTCGTTTTAGTATATTTTTAAGTTTGATAACTTTATAAAACTTATCGCTTTTGGTCTAAATTTCTAGTCATTTTGAGGTTGAACTTGCTTTTCTAGTCAGGTTATTAGAGTGATGGGACTTCTTTTTTTTTTTTCTTTTTATTTCTCGCGATTTTGTCTTTTAAATTCTTCTTTGTTTTGGGGTAGAATGTGTGCTTGTGGTTTAATTTGCATATGAATATGTGCACAATATTGCGGACAGGGACGCCTATGGATTTGCTGTGAGACCTCAACACATTCAAACATATCGACAGTACGTTAATATCTACAAGGTACAAATTTCCATCAAGGTTCACTTCTGGTATTCTAATGATCTGTTGCTAGTATTTACCCAAAAGAATATGTGTGGTCAGTCATGGTTATTGATATAATAATTCATTATACCAGGAAGAGGAAGAGGAAAGATCAGAGAAATGGAAGATGTTCCTCGAACATCACGCAAAACCTACTGAACTATGCCTTTCTGAGGAGGAAGATACAAAAACATTGCAAGCTGAAGCTACAGAGCTGAAAAATAAGGTTTGCCCTGAGGAGGAAAATAAAGAGACATTGCTTGTGGATGCCCATGAGACAAAAGAAGAGACTGCTTCTGAGAAGCAACACAAGGTGGCATTGCAGACTGAAACTACCCAATTGAATAAAGATGCTGCTTCTGAGGAGGAATGTAAGGAGACATTCCAAGGTGAAACTATTAAAGTAAAAGAGGAGGTTGCCTCTGAGTTAAAAGAGGAGGCTGCTTCGGAGAGAAGCAAGGAAGGAGATGCTCCAAGTGCGAAGCTTGATTATGCTGGTTCAATAGAAAGTGAAACAGAAAAGCCTGATTCTGCTCATTCAACAGAAAGTGCAAGAGAAAAGGAGGTGCAGCTTGCAGAAGAAACAAAGACACGTAAGGTCGAAAGATGGGCTAAGACCAGACCAACCCTTTATGGCATTGAGAATATGATGAATTCAAGGGTTAAGAAGGGAAAGAATTTGAAAAATACAAATATGAATGAAAGTGGCAACCATCTTCCGTCAATAAAAGAGGTAAGATCTCCAGAAGGAGAATCTGAGGATGAGTTTGAGGAAAAGGTATGTGTAAATGAGATCTCAGCTAGGGAAGAAAGTAATGGAGGCAGTGGGGCTTATCACGAATCCTTTTTTCCTTGGAAAGAGGAGCTGGAGAGCCTTGTTCATGGAGGAGTGCCAAAGGATCTGAGAGGGGAGGTGAGGTTGAAACTTCTCTGTTTGTTATTGTCTCAGTATTTATTTGTTGAAAAATGCATTGTCTTCTATAATATGATCATCGCAGGTATGGCAAGCCTTTGTAGGTGTTAAGGCACGACGAGTGGAGAGATATTACGAGGATTTGCTGGCTCAAGAAAACTATGATGATGACCAGCATAGTAACTCATCTGGTGTGTTCAGCAAATGGAGAAAGCAGATTGAGAAGGTCATTAGATGCATGCGCCTTGGACTTTATCGTTCAATCTTTTCAATTCGTAGGTGCTACATCTTTTGCTTTAAAATGTTATCACATTTCTCCCTAGGCTAACTTGTCTGTTTATTTTTCAGGATTTACCGCGGACTTTTCCAGGTCATCCAGCTTTGAATGATCATGGTAGGGATTCCTTGAGGCGTTTACTTTTAGCATACGCTCGACATAATCCCTCTGTTGGGTATTGTCAGGTAATTGATGAATTAAGAGTTTTTTTTTTTTGGTACCAAAGGGAATTGAACCCTGGTCATTGGAGCTAAAAGTCCTGCACTCTATCAACGGACCACACGACTTTTGGCTGAACTAAAATTTCATTTTCTCTGAATTTAGTTGAATTGGTACTAATATTTTAGTATTTATTTTAATTAATTTCTCTCTTTCAAACTTGTACCATATTATGAATACTTTCTTCTCCTTTATCGGTAGAAATCTACTTATACTTTTCATAATTGTCCATCTAGATCACAGCTCTTTCTCTCTAACTCACTCAATTTTATTTGCACTTTTATGTTCTTTAGAATCTACCTAGGAAAATTTTATTTAGAATTTATCTACAAATTTATCCAATTTCTTATCATTTCCTTCATTTCAGTCATACAATTGCTGCATAAGCACAGCACAATGAGGTCATCATTCTGTAGTTCGAAAATTTTTGGGACCTCAAGAACAACTCTGATGTTCTAAAACCGTGACTGTGCTTATGTTAAAATTTAAATTAAACTTTTTTCACCTCATGAGTTGATCAAACTGCTCAACAATAGTATATGAGTTTTTCCTTGCTAAATCTAATTTGCCAGAAAAATTGTGAGCATAAAGTTTAAGTGCAACTTGAAAGCCTGAACACCCAGAGGGGTTTTATTGGAAGCTTTTAATTTAAGACACGCAGCATGATTTTTACCTTTGGATTTTTAGGATTTATATTTGCTCTTAGTGGATCTTAATGACTTCCCTTCGCAAGTGATTAATTTTTTTAATAATTACTTACCCCTGGTTGTACTTATTCTTGTCTTTTAATTTGACATCAAACAAATGCAGGGAATGAATTTCTTTGCTGGATTATTGCTACTTCTGATGCCAGAGGAAAATGCCTTTTGGTAGGTTCAGGTAGCTTTTTATAATAAGGTTGATTTCTAACTGGAGTATATCTTGTACGTTTTACCCTAGAATGACTTTTGGGTGTACAGAACCTTTTTTGGCCTTCTCGGTAATTGTTGTGAAGACAATTCTTCTATGCAAAAAGAAACAAAAAAGGGTCTCTTTCCTAAACATGGTTGTCATATTCTGTTGTACTAATTTTGTACAAAGGTATATATAGATTCGGTAAATTCAGACACGACACAAATAATACGATAAAAAAATAATACAAAAAAAAACTGTATTTTAAAAAAACGTATTTATATTTTTTTATGTCGATATCAATTTTGACACGACATAATTCGTGTCGTATATGCGTTGATTCGTTTAAACATGTGACACGATATAATATAAACATATAAAGATTATTTTAATTTTTAATCTTTTAATATGATATTTAATTAGCTATTTAATATCATATAAAAATTATTTTAAATATTTAATTATGACACTCATTTAATAATTATTATAAAATTATTTTTTTATATTAATAATATAAATACAATATAAATATTAATATTAGTCCTATACATTATTATTTTGTTCTTTAATCTTTAATATTTTATGATTTTGAATTTGATACTAAAAATTAATATAATTATGTAATATAAATTAAGCTTTAAATATATATATTAAATACATATTAAATGAGTATTAAAATTTTTTTTTATTTTCTTAATATGTAAGTATATTTTTATATTATTAATATATCAAATTTATTAAATTGTAAATGATGGATAATTTATAGTTATTTATTATTTGAGTCATTTTTTTATATAATATTCGTGTTAATCGTGGTTATTTGTGTATATTCGTATTAGTTATGTCTATTCGTGTATAACCGTATTATTCGTATTTATTTGTGTCGTGTTTAAACGAATTAATTGTACATGTGTTAATCGTGTCGTGTCGCATGTAACACGTATATTAAACGTGACATATTCGTGTTTAGGATTTAAACAAGTTTTGTAATTCATGTCGTATTCATGTTTTAATAATTTATTTCATTACATGTCAAATACAACACGAGACATGAGATGAAAATACAAATTGCTAGGTCTAGGCATATATATACACATGCATACTCATGACACAAGAATAGCTAGGTCAGCTTTAAAGACTGATTTCTTTCAGTGTATTCTCAGGACCTTCGTGGGCATAATTGATGATTACTTTAATGGGTACTATACAGAGGAAATGATAGAATCTCAGGTTTTTTATTTTGTTACATTTTTTTAATGATAGTCCGTGTTCCTTATCAAATTTGTCTAGTTGCTTAGAAGTTTAGCGTCTATCACGTTCCCCAACATTCTGATATTGCAGTATTTCTAAGGTGATTTGCCAATATGCTGATATTGCAGTATCTTATAATTCTAAATATTTCTATTTTCATAGGTTGATCAACTTGTATTTGAAGAGTTGATGCGTGAAAGATTTCCTAAATTGGGTTTGTTTACTTTTCTACATTTTATTTATGATCTTCCCATGCATTACACGAAACAATATGGGTGATTTTTTTTATTTCATGTATGCTTATGGGGAAGTCAATCATCTGGATTACTTGGGAGTACAGGTGACATGGATTTCTGCATCTTGGTTTCTTTCCATTTTTGTTAATATGCTTCCTTGGGAAAGCGGTAAGATTTAAAGTTAGTGCTGCAAGTTAAATTATTTTCTAATTATTTCAGCCAAACTGCTTAGTTCTGAGCACCCTGCACTCTTTGTTAGAAATCATGTTTGCCTTGTAATGGATTTCTTCGTCTCCAGTTCTTCGCATTTGGGATGTGATTCTATTTGAAGGAAATCGTGTTATGCTATTTCGAACGGCCCTTGCTTTAATGGAGTTATATGGTATTGAGCATACATATTTATAAAATGTGAAGCATTAAATGTGGATGATGAATTCAAAAAGCCGTCTTTCTTTTGGCCACAAAAAGCAGTCTAGTTACGTGGGGTTTACTGCAGGTCCTGCCTTAGTTACAACTAAAGATGCTGGGGATGCCATCACTTTGCTGCAATCCCTTGCTGGTTCAACATTTGACAGCAGCCAACTTGTTTTGACTGCCTGCATGGGTTTTTTGGCTGTGACAGATGGTAAATTACAAGAGTTGAGAGAAAAGCATAGACCAGCTGTTCTATTGATTGTTGAGGAAAGAACAAAAGGAGGTCAAGTTTGGAAAGATTCAAAAGGACTTGCATCTAAGCTGTACAGTTTTAAGCATGATCGTGGATCACTGCAGAAGGAAACAAAGCCTGCTGAAGGTTTAGCTGATGGAAACACATCTAAGTTGGAGCCCCGTTCCTCTAATCTTGATGAATTGCTCTGTAGCCTAAATGCAGATTCCACAGTAGATTCTCTACCAGATCTTCAGGAGCAGGTACTCTTCTTTGTTTGTCTTCTTATCTCTTGTGCACTGCATTTCTAATATTTTAGGAGGTGATTCACCTACGATACCTGTTTTATACTTCATGGTCCACATACCACAGATTGTATGTGCTTAATGTATTGATTTAGTAAGCTCCATAAGCAGTTGATGTTCGCTTACTTTTCTTCCACCTTATCTACTTTAACCAAATTCTGGTTTGAGCTGCCAACATTCGATGTGAATATAGAAATCTACATATCAGATTCAAAGAATTAGAATGGCTTCAGCATAATCTTGCATAACCCGGGTAGAAGGATGTTGATTGAGATCTTTGTTGGCATTTTGACGATTCACAAAACATCAATGCTGCTAGATTTGAAAATATAAGAACATTGACTGAAGGCCCTTTAACTACAACGCATGGACTCTTGAATGTTGCTAAGATAGGACAAATAGCCTGTTGCTTCATCATGTGACTTAATAAAGGTGTGATAGTATTCTGCTCTTATAACCGCTCTCCTAAGTAATGCATTTCTAACCTAATAACACTGACTGGGCTGTAATTATACTCACTGAACTTTTTCTTCGTTTTCTAACTGTGCTTCACTTGTAATTAATTGGATGGATATGAATCATCACTCTGCAACTCCTTTGAAAGTTCAATCATTAACAGTTTATGTGCAGGTTGATTGGATGAAAGTTGAGTTGTGTCGATTGCTTGAGGAAAAAAGAGCTGCTGTACTCCGGTTAGTATATTCTATTGTCTTTGGTTTCTGATTTTTTTCTCAAACATTCTGTTTCGAATTGCCATGTGGCTTTGCTTTTTCTATGGTGGTAATATAGTAACTGAGTCTAGGCCAAGTAGTGCAGTTTCAGTCATGCAATTTATTGACCAGCCAACTCATATAGTTTGTGCACTTGTTGCTTAATGTGCATGGATAGCAACATTTAGTAGTATAGCTTTCTCTTTTTAGAGAACCATGGTATTTAGCCTTCTTGACATTGTTGGTCTTTTTCATGTGCTACGTTCCTTTTCAGTCCTCATAGAAATGACACATAAAGCATCATATCTGCCAGTTATCTCATCATTTCAGGGGAGTTGCTTTATTTAAGATAGCTATGGATGAAAGTGCATCTTGAGGAATTATAGATAGCAATGTGCTTCAAAATTAGGAATGAATCCCATATGACCATTTTCATGTTTTCTTAGCATGAATTATTTTAATATTGTTGAAGTGCTTCTATAACCTATCATTTTACATGTTAACTGCGGTTCCTATTCTTTTCCAGAGCTGAGGAGTTAGAGACAGCACTTGTTGAGTTGGTCAAAGAAGATAACCAAAGACTATTGAGTGCAAAGGTATACGTAAATTTATTTGTATGAATATGTTAGACCTGCTGCCCAGCATATCATTGGCAATACTTCTTCTCTGTGAGCTTTGGTTTACTCAAGTTGCTTGCAGGGTTTGAAGTTTGTTAATAATGCTGCAGATTGAACAGTTAGAGCAAGAGGTGACTGATTTACACCAAGCTCTTGCTGATAAGAAAGAACAGGAAGCTGCAGTGATTAAGGTATAATTTTGCCTCTTCTCTAATGCCTTCTTTTGTAACTATGGCTTAATTCTTATTCTATTATGAGTCCTCCAGTGATTTTTTAAATTCTACGCGCTGCAGGTTTTGATACAGCTGGAGCAAGAGCAAAGGATCATTGAAGATGCTCGCAGAAATGCAGAGCAAGATGCAGCTGTCCAGAGACATGCAGTTACTGAGCTTCAGGTTCTCTTCTGTTTTTGAGGTCCTAGTTATCAATGATAATGTTAAACTATAAATTTCATATTGTTCCTCGTGTAGAATTGGAAGAGAAGTTCAATGATATTTGAGTATACACCAAGGAGGAATCTACTCATTCTGTTTTTCAGTTGAGTTTCATGCTAGATGATATATTCTTGTGATGTGACTCCAATCAAGAAATTTAAGCTACTGTTAGGCAATCTGTTTCTATAATAACTTCAGGGCTTGGTTAAGCTGTCAAATGGTTTATGTATTTTCCCCCATTAACATTTTACTTCAATTACATTGTATGTCTTATATGTTTCTCTGTACCATAGTTCTCCTGTTGACATAAGATGATTGCTGAATTCAAAACTTGATACACGGTATTTCCCTTAACTGTTTCAAGTCTTCTGCCATAAGAATTAAGGTCTTTTCTATTCTTATAATTCATGAATTATGCAATTCATTTTTTACTTGCCTTATGTCTGATTGCTACTTTCTTTTCTACTCTGATTAAATTGAAGGCCCCATGAGTAGAGTGTTTTTTTTGCCTTCTTTCTTTTGTGACTACATTGATTCGCAAAGAAAGATACATTTGCAGGAAAAATATGAGAAGGCTATGGCTTATATTGCTCAGATGGAGAAGAGGGTGGTTATGGCAGAATCAATGTTGGAGGCTACCTTGCAATATGAATCTGGCCAATCTAAAGCACTATCTTCTCCACGGTAAGAAACATTTTAAGCATCGTTCTCTTCTAACATTCACTTATTTACGTAAGAAAAAGAGAATTCTGAACATTATGACCCATATATCCATCTCTATATCCTTCCTTGTAATCAAAATGTTTTGACAAATTTTCAGTTATATTAATGCCACATAAAATGAAAAGAGCAGAGGTACTTTGATCCAGCTATTGAAGAAAACTTAAAATTTAATGTTGTTCTAACCCATAAGATGCCCCTAAGAAACAAAGGCTATACATCATTAAATTGTGGAAGTTGGTACGAGGTCTCTATGGTAAATATATAGGCTTCCAATCTAGGGAACAGGCTGAAAATGCTTTTATACACGCTAAAAAATGAAAGGAATGAACCATTTCATTTATTTTTTAAATTTTTTTACAGGACAACTAAGTTTTTCCATTGTTTCCAAAACATAAACTGTTGTCCACTTGTATTCTCACGCAAGAAAATCAGAAAAGTGCATTCCTGATTGAAATACAATTGTAGAACTGTTACAAATTATAGTTGAAAACAGACATCCTCTAAATTTTTAGGCTGAGATTTTCAGTGACATTTAGATCTCTACTGAACAAGACAATGCTATGGTGTGGCTAGAGATTTTGTTTATGCATGTTTTGAATTATGTTTGCTTGATGGATATTTTTCTACAAGTTTCCATATGCATCTGCATAGTTGTGTCTTACAAAGATAGCATGCTTTTGTAGGGCTCAGCGAGACAGTCCCAGAAGAAAGGTGGGGTTATTGTCATTTGCACTCGGCTGGCGTGACAAAAACAAGGTAAATATTTACATTGCCACGTTTTGGCAGGTTTTACTTGCAAAAGCATTAGGCTTGTCATTCCTTGATTTCTATTATTCATTCCCATCTGGGATGAAATACTTTATTCAATTGTTTTGGAGCAGTTCTATTAGCTTGAAGTAGAGTTAATGGTGCTACAATTGTTTTGACATTTTCTATTAGGTTTGGAGTTCAGAGGATATTGCTTACCTATTTTCTATGCCTTTATTTGAAGCTCGCAAACTTGAATTTGATATGGCAGGGCAAACCTAATGTTGAGGAGTCTACCGACGGTAAATCCAACCCTAGCACAACACCGAAAGAAACAAACACCCAAGACCAAGAAGAGCTCTAGCTAGGGATAGCCCTGGTGCCACGTTATCCTTTGAATTTGTGCCTCCACTGCCAAAAAAGTCATTTCTCTGCAACTCTTCTGATTTTTAATTGCTCTTTTCTCCTTATTTGTAGCTATGAATATACTGGCAATTAATGGTAAGAGGGTTCTATTTGTACGAAGTGTCAAGTTGAACCCAAGTTGACTTGTAGAAGTAGATTGATTTGAATATGATCCAATGTGCAGCAGCATATTATACATTGTTCAGTATACAAAGACTTTTGTTTGTATCCACAATATTGGCTTTGTCATTCTATTGAGATTTCATGCATTCAATGTAGTATGACTGTACAAGAAAATGTCACTGCCTGGTAAGAGGGCATCTCATTATATTATGAATATGAATCTGAAATTTCATATACATAGGACAACAGAAGCTACATATATCTCCTAACAACAAACACAATAGCTTATAAAATTGTGCCTTTGTTTTTGTAAGAATTTAGCAAAATTTGATAACAAGGCATGTTGTGTTACGCAGGCAGTAAGCATTTAGCTTAAAACTCCTGGCCCTGTGATTTCATTTACGCTAAAAGACGCCACAACTCAATAATATCATCAATACCAGCATCTATCAACAGTTGGCAGATCCCAGAGAAGCCCCAAAGGAGCATAAAGAATCCAAGCAAGTATCAACTTAGCCTTCTCGTCCGATCCCTTTCAGACCCACTACCACCATTGGGCTTCTTATCTCTGTCTCTCTTTGTCCGAGGAGGAGTACCAGGGGCCAAGCGGGAACCCTGTATTGGCAGTACATCTGGTTCAAATTTTTGAGAAGCAAGGTAAGTCAAAGCTGTGACTACATCAGCAATGAGTGGTCTCTTATTTGGCTGCTCTTGAACACACATTGCTGCCACTGCAAGAGCTTGGAATAAGCCCCTTGGAGGATACTGACCTTGGAGCATTGGATCAACCATTTGAGAGAATTTTTTTCGGTCATTGAATAACGGCTTTGCCTGCAACAAAGGTCGAGATAGAAGTGAAATTTTTGCTACCAGACAGAAAATCACCATTTTTTTAGCTTTTATCCAAAACTTTTGCTTGTGAAATAACTGATGTAAGTTGTGGTTGAAGACTAATTACAACAAAATTGGAAGCAAGCCAAAGGTATAGATATATATTATTTTATCTGTTTCTTACCCATGCTACTAGATTCTGTTCCCCAGCACCCTTAGAATTATCAATTGCTTTCCTGCCGGTTATGATTTCTAGAAGAACAACCCCAAAGCTATAAACGTCTGATTTTAGAGTTAGTTGACCAGTCATTGCATACTCTGGGGCACAGTATCCATAGGTGCCCATAACCCTTGTAGATACGTGGGTGTTATCCCCAACAGGCCCAAGCTTGGCCAAGCCAAAATCAGATAGCTTGGGAAAATATCCTTCTCCAAGTAAAATGTTGGAGCATTTCAAATCTCGGTATATAACAGGGGGATTGGCTTTATCATGCAAATACTCCAACCCCTTTGCAGCCCCAGCAGCTATTTTCATTCTTGTATTCCAGTCCAGTCTTTTCTTACCAGGTGAAATGTCTGCAAACAATAAGCATAAGAAATCATCCTCCTGTTAGAGCACGTGAAAAATAAAAAAGAAATATTATAGTAATAACTAACAAAACATGAGGAGTTAATGCCATTTAATACATACCAATGGCCAAAAAAATGCCATACATACCGTGTAAATGGTCTTCCAGAGATCCTAAGGGCATATATTCATAAACCAGAAGCCTTTGATCTCCATCAGCACAGTACCCAGTAAGATTAACAAGGTTAGGATGGTGAAGTAGGCTCAGCATTAGAACCTCAACAAGAAATTCCCTGTTCCCTTGCAACCCATTACGATCAAGTTGCTTTATAGCAACAACCTACAACAATCATAAAAACAAGATTCAATTGCCAGTTTACCACCTTCATGTGAAAGCAAGCCTGCATTTAACTTGTGTAAGCTGTTAACTTTGTTTCAGGTTTTTCATTTTACAACTAACCTGATTTGTACTCTCCAGACGCCCTTTGTAAACCCTACCGAAACCTCCTTCTCCCAAAAGGCATTCTGCTCTAAAATTTTTAGTTGCTGTTGCCAATTCACGAAATGAAAATGTCTGTGCAGCAATATGTTCACTTCCTCCGCTTTTGGACGTCTCCCCACTTGACGAGGAATCTGTTTTCAATATGTCTGAATGAATAAAATATGATGTAAATGTCGGCAAAATCCAAATACTTGTATGCATTTGATTCTTGAACAGGAAAGACAAGCCACACTACTGAAACCTCATAATAAACCAGGAAATGAAAAATACAAACATCAAGAATGGACTGAGCTGGATTTTGCCAGCTTCACCTCACAAAATCTACCATACACTTTGCTTTTACATTTCAAGTCCGATGCAACATATATGAGGTGTATCAAAAATCAAACTCGAGCAAGGATTTTGCTACTTTAATCCATCACTTCAATTTAACAGACAAAATGAAGGATCAAGCCTTGCTGAGAGTTATAAACAAGGAGGCAAGCAGAATAATCAGTGAGAAAGTGCAACACTTTCACGAGGTATCATTATGATTTTAAAGATGATTCACAGAAGTTTGTCATCTAGATATCCTAATACTTTACATTAGAAAAATAAAATTAGAGAGAATCCAAAACTTAAGTAAAATCCATAAGCAGTCTAGCCTGCAAAACACAGAACCAGTTCCATTCATTTCCTAATACCTACCAATATGCGTGCAAAGAAACTACCCTTTTAAGCTACTAAAAGCATATTGAATAAAGAAAAAATAAACAATTGATCAAGCAATCAAGTCCTCTAATTTTCTTCCTTTACCCTTCTAATTATCCAATATTTGATCCAAATTCTATCTGACTATCCAAAACAAACCACAATTACCCAACAACAAATCAACTAACAAAGAACCCAGGTAAAAAGAATAAATATTTATTTTCAAAAATCAATAAAACACATAAAAAGAACATAACATCTAGCATAAAAGACCTTCTCTTTCTGTGACAGTATGATTAACATAAAAAGTAAGAAAAAAACAAGGTCAATCTTTATTGACTTTTACATGAAAAAGCTTTACCTGAGGTAGGTTTGATTTGATCAAGTGGCATCTGTTCCATCTTTTTGTTCTTCTTAGATTTATTAGCTTTGGTGTTTGATTTCCCAGAACAAGGAAGCCACCCCATGATTCTTCTTCTTCTTTGCTTCTTTGGCTTCTTTTTCACTTCAAAAATAATCTTTACTGCTACAAAAAAATCAATCACAACATTAAAACAACATCAACCAATTTCTTGAATTACCTTAACAATACCCTAAAAACACAGAAACTTTGATGAAGATTTCACAAGTTTATATTACAAAGATGAAGGAAAGCAAAGTTTTTGTCTTTCAGTAACATTTATTTTTTTTATTAGTTTATATTTATTTTTATTCTATTTAAAATTAGGTGATTGGCTTAAACATTTTTATTTTTGGACCACTTATGAGTGCTACGGTGCCGTTTAGGCGCTAGGAAATGGAGTGAGAAACGATGGTCCTCTGACGTGGGTCCCATTGCCCGGATTCATTGTTATCTTCTAAACTAGAAAAAGATGTATTTTCTAAGGGTAAAATTTGTCAAGTCCTTAAGATTTAGCCAATGATCCATTAATTTTAAAATTGAACATCTCATCCCAAAATTATTAATTTGGTCAGATAAATTAGTTCTCGTTAATGCTAAAAAATCTGTTAAAAGGACGTTGTAGAAACTATTATGTCCTTAAATAAAAAAAAATTGAAATATTCAATTTGAAAAAGAAAGACCTGATTTTTTTACAACAAAAAAAATTATGAATTTATTATTTCATTCATTTCATTTAAAAAAAAAAAAAAACAAAATGATCAAGACAAGTTTTTCTTTTAATTCATTTCTAAAAAAGCAAGAAAAATAAAAATAAAAATAAACTTTTATTTATATTATTTCAAATGATTTTTTTGTGGTCTTATTAAACTTAATAAAAAAATATTTTTTGTTTTTCTAAATTTTATATTTTCAATTTTTTTAAAAATCAACATTATAAAAAAATTAGAAATAATTTTTTATAAGATAAAAAATTTTGCATTGTTAAAATAAAATAAAAAATAATTCTTTTCTTTCTTAAAAATTACTATTTTCTTTCATTTTATTTCTTTCTTTGAAAATAAAAAATAAAAAACAATCCTCCTCCTGTCATCGTTTTCTTTGAAAACTTCGTTGGGAAAAAAAAAGTCCCCCAAATTCATTCTCAAAATTTTCTCTCCAAATTCTTTGATGGGTTTTTTATTTTGTTATGTTCGAAAATTTTTTATTTGTTAAATATCTTTGTTTTTTTTTTTTAATTTTTTTACTTCACATTTAGACAATTTTATAATTATTCAAATTTGATTACGATATTACTTATTTTAAAGTGAAGTTTCTATTTCTTAAAATCATAAATTTAAATTTTGATTGAGTCTGAAATATTTAAATAAAATTTATCCATCGAATAAATAATAAAACATGACCATCAATAGAATAAAATTGACGTACATAATTTAAATTTACTCACGGACTTAGGTCTATGATTAGAATAGGTTTTAATTATTCTAATACTATTAATTTCCCCTTTTCTAGGTGAATTTTTGGTTGGCTCAAAAATTGACATCTCGTCACAAAACAATTGTTTAATTTGAATTGAAATTAATTTTAATATTGAGTCTTAGATTCAAATTTTAACGGATTAAAATAAATTGTTTACCATTTTTGAATACTACAAACAAAAAGTTAAATTTTCTAAAATAATGAAAATAAAAGATATAAGTAATTAATGAAGCATAAAATTATGATAATTAATGAGATGAATGTGTGAGCTAGCTTTGCCATATTTGTCTGTCTATTTAATGTCAATTTTATTATTATTAAATGTTAAAATGCAAGACATGTTCTACAAAATTAAGGATTTTATCATAATCGTTGTAACTGTTGTTCTTTTTATTGTTAATTCTGGTTGGGATAAATTAATAAACATTATGCTAACAACTACCAATCTTTTTATTTAATTAAAACACAAGAACTAGCTTGGTTCCAAAAACAAAATCAATCTTTGCATATAAATCACGGATATAAATTAATTATGATTCACTTAAAAATGATATTACGCTTTTAAATGTCAGATAAAAATATTTCAAACTTGATATAATTCAATTTTTTTTTAAAGACGTATTCTAAAATATTTTTGAACATGGTCTAGGAATCTAGGAAACCAACACCAAGTCCAACATCATGACCCCAAATTTATTGAAGGAAATCACTTTCAAATCTAAATATAAGACGAAGGGTAAATCGTTAGTCCATTACAGTGTGAAACCTATAAATTCCCTTTTAACAAATGTCTTACAAGTTCTTTTTTTTCAAAAAAAAAATTAAATACATATTTTTTTATGTGTTTAAAATTGTTAAAATTTGATATTAATCACTAAAACTAAAAGTCCAATATTTAGTTAACTTAAACATGATTATTGATAATTTTAAGTACATATCTCTTCTAGGTAAATATATTAATTTTTAAATGATTTTTGAATATATGATGTACCAATTAAATACTTAATGTGTGAGGGGGCGGTGGTTTCAAAATACTTCAAAGTGTTTGGGTTTTTTTTTTATGGGGTGGGGTAGGGTGGGAGGGGGAGGGGGGAAATCAAAGTGTTCGGTTGAAATCATGGAATTTAGGGTCTCATCTTTCATTGTTGCTTATGATAATCTTAAGCTTAGTCATGTCATGTGTTGGAAAAAAGTTAGGTTTAATTCTTGTTTGTATCAATAGTTTTTGTAAAAGACTTGTATGAAAAAGTCCACTATCTATCATTAGTTAGACATGACCGGCTACCATAATCATATTAAAATTTTTCATAAGTAGGTTACTATTAATTGATGATTTTGATTTAATAAAACTGGCTAATTGATTTAGTCTTAATACAAGACAAGCATGAGAGCTTAATTAATTTAATGTGATCATCTAAGTGTAGGCTTTGCACATCTTATTAGATCAATGTACTATGACGGTTGTGTAGGCCTTTGGCTCGGTATGCCTTTGATGGGGAGTTTATTAGGGTTATTTAATTAATAAGACTAAAGTCTCATTTCTACTTCTCATATAAGACAACAAACCATTTGAAAAACTGTTGGCAAAAGAGCAAACGAAAAGAAGATTCTAGCCATTTCAGGAACTGTTTTGCTTTTGCAATTCATGATGACTACCCAAATAGATATGCCTAATCTCTTCGATTAATGTATAGTGTTTTAATTTTCACACAATTATCTTGGGTTAGTACTTACATTTGGTATCAGAGCTTGGTTGTGTGAAATTAGGACCCTAATTTCATGTTAAATAGATTGCTTGTTTATGATGAATAAGTTGTTGCCAGAATTTTTTAATTTCGATCATTATTTTCAAATTTTGCTTGAGGGCTTTTATTCATCTTTGAAAGAGGATTAAAAACCATATAAGCTTCGTTTTGTAATTTCTTTAATGGCAAGAGAAATTAGGTTCAAAGTTTTTTATTACAATTTTGATCAAAATTCTTGTTTTGTTTATAACATCAACATTTTATGTGTTTAATTTGAAATTGATCATTGGGTAATGTTTCTAACATATTATAAACGTAGATTAAAGAGTTTAATTTTATAAAATGTTGATGTAAGATGATCAAATACAAAGAAAACAAAAATAAGTTTTATATGGGTTTGTAGAATCTAAAATTTTTCTTAAATTGATCATTTTTTGTTGGTTTTTAATGTGTTTTTTGCATAGGTTAAATAGAAAATCACTTTAATTGAATTTTGGACATTTCAATTTGTTGAAAAGACTAAGAAAAATGTATCAAAAATGAAGAAGACCACCAATAAACCCAAATGGGTTAGAAAACCGCTCTAGTTAGGTTAGGCCAACCTAGTTGAAGGTTGAAGAAAACCAATCCTACTCACTAAATAAAGCCCACGCATAGGGAGTGGTACGTGTGGGCTTGTTTTGTAGCCTTTTTTACTCTGGTCTTTTTTTACATGCTCAGAATTTTATTTTTTATTTTAGTTTTAAAATTTTTAAATTACATGAAATATTTATTGTTTGATATTCATGCCTTCTTTAGTAATTACTAAACATTATACATGGGATTTTATTTATTTTATTTTATTATAAAATATTTTGGCATGTTGAAAGTCTAATAACAGTAAGTACTATCCTTAGTTAGGACATAATATTTATGTACTCTTGATTTGAACTTTATGTGCATAATTGATTAGTAATTAAAAATAGTTTTAAATTAAGTTTGAGACCTAAGTTTAAATGCAATATACATTATTTATAAGACCTAATGAGATACATCTAGATTTAGTATCTCAGCTGGAATGGTCCATTGCATACATTAAGATTGAGTATGCAAATTGAGAATTTTGAGCAATTAAATGAAATTTCCTAGTTTGTAAAAAAAATTCATTACTTGATATAAGTGCGGTTGCCAAAGTGGCTCACTTACTGAAGTTAATTGAATATTTTATAATTCTAAAGTTATGGAATGGTTATTAAATTATCTTATGCATTTACCTACCTAAAGGAGGATTAATGTATAGGGTAACTTATTTTTTAACATAAAGCATCATGGTTGAAGGTGTACCAATCTAAAAAATCTTCTTGCTTAAAGGGAATAGGTTTTTCAAAAACTAAAACATTCTCATATTAGTTTTATGAGATAAGTTTCTAATTACATATTACATTCTTTACCTAAAAAAGAGTTTGTCATGATGCACTTGGACTATTTACTAATTGCTAGTATATCATGGATCTTTACTATACAACTTATGATATTGCCCCTTGATTGATGTTGTATTTTGTCTTGAACAATGACTTTTGTTGTCAATAACAATCAAGCCATTATTGAAATACTTCATGGATCTAACTATAAGAGATGAAATGAAGATTTGAAATTTGCTTTGGTTATGAGGGAGATAGACATAGCCTTACATTTTCTAAAGCCTATTGATTTTACTAAAAAAGTACTGTTGAATAAAAAAAAATTTTAACAAATGGGAAAAGACATATCATATGCATCTGTATACCATTAAGAGGTATGTTCTTGAACATTTTTTGAGTAGGTTGGATATCGTAGAAGTGGCTAGGGATCTCTACAATGCTATAGGCAATAAATACAAAAAATTCAGTAAGTCTGAGGTTGGAAACCTTATGAGTGAGCTTACGAGTGTAAAGGATAATAGTGCAGGTGGTGTTAAAGATTTCATTATGAGAATGGTCTACATTCAAGCCAAATTGACTTCCCACGAAATTATCTTCCTTGACAAATTCATTATTCACCATGCCTTTAATTCCTTACCTATTGAGTTCACCAAAATCAAAACTACCTTATTGCTATGAATGAGGTTTGGAGTGTTAATAATCTTATCTCAAAATGTGTTTA